TATGTATGTGTATATATATGTATATATATGTATGTATGTGTATATATATATATATATATATATATTTATGTATGTGTATATATATGTATATACATATTTATGTATGTGTATATATATGTATATACATATAGATATGTATATACATATATATATGTATATATATATGTATATACATATATATATGTATATATATATGTATATGTAATGTTTCCCCTAACATTATAAAAGCAGGGCGCCCCACCCTGTCAACAGAACTGAGTGCCCCACCTACTGAATCAAACCGTGCGCCCCCCACAGTACAGGTGCGCTAGTTACAAAGCTAAAGGCAGTGCTCATGGTGCATCTTCCCTCCTTCCCCCCCCCCCCCCCCCCCCCCCCCCCCCAGCTTGAAAACTGTCGGTACAAGCAGCACGCAGCTCTGATGTGTCTCCGTCCCCCCTCGACAAAAATCACGTACGAGAGGAGCGTCCCGCCATGGCCTGTTATCTAGGGGTAACATTGTATACGTCATGTTGTTGAATAAAAATATCACCATTCGGTTGGAAAATGTGATCATTTAAAAAATGTCCCGGGTTTATCTGCAGGCTGCAAAGCTTTTTGACTGCCTCAGTCACACATCTTGTGAATATTGTGTAGATCCTTTAAGTGTCTCCAGGCAACTCAGAAAAACTGCTATCTGTATCTTTTATAAATCTATTAATAATCTGTTCCACACTTATCAGTACATTTATCCTTTTTTTGTTTTCTGATGTTCTTAAAGCAACAGATGAACTCACTGTGGTTCAAGCTGCGTCTGAACTTTGACTTTACGTTCATTATCTGCAGGCTTACTGGTCTGGATCAGTGTGGTATTTAGTGAGGTGCAGTAAACTGACACATATTAACACCAAACTGTTTGCTCTACAATCCTTTGTGTCATATTGACTGACAATCTTTTTGCTTTGCCTGCTTCAGCACATCTTTTAATTCATAAATCTGTTTTGTGCAATACTTCAGTAATTAGCACGTGAACAGACAGAGCTGGTAGATATGGATCTCGTTGCAAGGTGTCAACATTATGGGGATCATTCAGCTGAACTGTTTTCACACACTTCTTGTGCCACATAAATGTCACATATGTTTACTGTCTCCTCAGGTTGTCAACATCCAATCGGTCTGTCCAGAGGAAAGGCCAAAGTTTGTTACTACAGTGGCTGGTACTACTGTCAGAGCTGCCATAGGGATAACTCTTTCCTCATCCCAGCACGCCTGCTGCACAACTGGGACACCAGTAAGCACAAGGTGGGAAAACACAAGAAAATACACCTTTTGAAACATCAGTAGAAAGTCTTTGATTGATATTTACTAGCCACCATTGACCAGTAAGTGTATGTTTTCCTTTAAAGGACTTTTCTGTAGTAAAACCTGGATAAGATTATTCATAGAGTGAATGCCTGTGCACCTAATGTAAGGCTGTATCCAGAAGGCGTAACCTTAGATCAGAATAATGAGTGGAATGAGTGAGGAACAGTGAGACTGGCCTCAACTAAAGGTAAAAAAAAAAAACCTCAGAAAGCATGTCTAAAACGTACAAATGAGCATGTTAGATCCTGCCTAATCTGTACAAAGGCATGGGCTTTTGTTAGTCTTTTAAAGCCCACTACATCCATTACAAGCATGGAGAGAGGAGCCTTTTCAGGATTATCTCTTGTATATCAATGGTCCTTTTCACTGATCTAAATATAAACTCCTGTATGTTCTCCTCCAGGTGTCTAAACAGGCCAAGGAGTTCCTGGAGTTTGTGTATGAGGAGCCGTTGCTGGATATCCAGCAGCTCAACCCCTGCCTGTACGAACACTGTGAACCTTTGAGCACAGTACTGCGACTCCGTCAGCAGCTCCAGTCACTCAGAGCCTACCTGTTTAGCTGCAGAGCCACCATAGCTGAAGACCTCAGAAGAAGGTATGTCAACTACAGCATTGAGGCATTTTTCTGCAACACTGTAAAAGCAAGTCGAAGCCATCCATCCCAGCATTTTGATATCCTCCACTTGGTCCAGTGTTGGGCCACGGGGGCAGCAGCTTAAGCAGGGAGGCTCAGACATCTTTTTCTACAGCCTGCTCTTCTAGGAGGATTCCAAAGCGTTCCCAGGTCAACCAGGAGACATATTCTCTCTAGCATGTCCTGGGTCTTCCCTGGATTCTCTTCCCAGTTGGACATGCCCAAAACACCTCCATAGGGAGGTGCCCAGGAAGCATCCTTACCAGATGCCTGAACCACCTCAACTGGCTCCTCTCGATGTGGAGGAGCAGCGGTTCTACTCTTAAGTCTTTCCTGGACAAGGGATATTCTCACCCTATCACTAAGGGAGAGTCCATCTACCCTGCAGCGAAAACTCATTTCAGCCGTCTGTATCTGTGAAATCATTCTTTTGGTCACTATCCAAAGTTCATGGCCATGGGTGAGAGTAGGAATGTTGACCAACTGGTAAACAGAGAGTTTTGCCATACAGCTCAGCTCCCACTTTACCACATCGGACCGGCACAGAGTCCGCAATACTGCAGATGCTGCACCAATCTGTCTGTCAATCTCACGTCCCATTCTTCTTTTACTTGTGAACCCAAGATGAACATTTCCACTTGAGGCAGAACCTCACACTCGACCTGAAGGGAGTATTCCATGCTTTTTCAACTGAGGGCCATGTCCTCAGATTTGGATGTACTGATTCTCATCCCAGCTGCTTCACACTGGGCTGTAAACCACTTCAGTGATAGCTGAAGTTCACAGCACAATCACACCAACAGGACTACATAAATAAGCAAATAACAGAGATGGAATTCTGAGGCCACCGAATCGTACTTCCTCCTTCTCCTTGCTGCACTGAGAAGTTCTGTCCATGAAAATTATGAACAGAATCTGTGACAACGGGCAGCCTTCGCAGAGTTGAACTCCCACTCTGAAGGGGTCCGACTTACTGCTGGCAATGCGAACCAAATTCTTGAACAGCTTGTAAAGGGACCAAACAGTCCGTAGCACCTTGCTCCAATCCCAAACTTGCAGAGCACTCTCCACAGTGTTCCCCAAGGAACATGGCTGAACGCCTTCTTCAAGTCCATATAGACTGGATGGGCAAACTCCCACAACCCCTCGACGACCTTGGGGAGAGTAAATAGTTGGTCCAGTGTTCCATGGCCAGGATGGAATCCGCATGGTTCCTCCTGGATCTGAGGTGCGACCAATGATCATACTAGCTTGTCCAGTACTCCTAAATAGACCTTACCAGGGAGGCTAAGGAAAGTGATTCTTCTATAATTAGAACACACCCGACGGTCTGGTCTCCCTTTTTGAAGAGGAGAACCACCACCCTAGTCTGCTCTCCTCAGAACCGATTGAAAGTCTTTATGCAAGGTCTCACCAAATTCCTCCCGCATCCAAGCTTTTGCCTCAACAAAAGCCAAGACTGCAGCCCGCTTGGCCCTCCAGTACCTCCAGCTACCTCTGGAGTCACACCAGCCAACAAGGCCCTTACTACACATTTGTGTCTACCGTGTCTGTCCAGCATTTCCCCCCGCCATCTGACCCAACTCACTACCAGGTGGTGATCAGTTGACAGCTCAGCCCCTCTCTTCACCCGATTGTCCTAAACAAATGGCCGCAAATCAGATGACACAATTACAAAGTCAATTATCGATCTATGAACTAAGGTGTCCTGGTGCCAAGTGCACTTATGGACACCTTTTTGTTCGAACATGGTGTTTGTGATGGACAAACTATGACTAGCACAGAAGTCCAAAATCAGAACACTGCTCGAGTTCCCCATGCTTCATGGTTGGGATGGTGTTCTTGGGGTTGCACTCATCCTTCTTCCTCCTCCTCCAAACACAGTGAGTGGATTTGATACCAAAAAGCTCTGTTTTGGTCTCATCTGACCACATGACCTTCTCCCATGCCACCTCTGGATCATCCAGATGGCCATTGGTGAACTTCAAATGGACCAGGACATGTGCTGGCATGAGCAGGGGGACCTTGTGTGCCCTGCAGGACTGTAAAACTGGACAGAGTAGTGTGTTACTAATGGTCCTCTTTGAGACTGTGGTCCCAGCTCTCTTAAAGTCCTTGACCAGGTCCTCCTGTGTAGTTCTGGGCTGATTCCTGACCTTTCTCAGAATTACCCTTACCCCATGAGGCGAGATCTTTCATGGAGCTCAGACCAGGGAAGGTTGGGTCATCTTGTGTTTCTTCCATTTTCTAATAATTGCACCAACAGTTGTTGCCTTCTCACCAAGCTGCTTGCTTGTTGTCCCGTAGCTCACCCCAGCCTTGTGCAGGTCTACAATTTTGTCCCTGGTGTCCTTAGACAGCTCTTCAGTCTTGGTCGTGGTGGAGAGGTTGGAGTGTGATTGACTGAGTGTGTGGAAAGGTGTCTGCTATACAGGTATTAAGTTCATACAGGTGCAAGTAATACAGGTAAAGACCTCAACAGTAAAAGAACAGAGTTGCATAGTAAACTTCTCAGTTTGGACTTTTGGTGCATTTTTCTTCCATTGATTGTATTTATGATAATTATTTAAAAAAATAATTAGGAAGCTGTGTTTGATGCCCTACATTTTTTGACTGAAAACATACCTCCAACATTTCCTCCATGGATGTCCGAGTTTACGTGTGTATACTTCTAAACCTTTTATCTTCATGCATTCCTGTGTGATGGTCAGAGGGGTGAATGTTTATCTGAGTGAGGTCCCACTCTGAAAGCCTGTCTGGGTGCTGATGGATGTTTCCTGCCCTGTTTACCAAGACGTTCGGACCTGACCCTTACTTTTTGTCTGCTGATGGACTTACTAAATTATTAGTCTAGATGGGGTTTTATGGAATGAATCAATGGGTCAAGAATTTATCATTTTGATTATGACAATCATTATAGCCAAAATAACACTTGAATGACCTTTTTTTTTTTTTTGCTTTACTTTAAAAAGTATCTTCATTCATTACACAAATAATAAACTTGATGATCCGACAACCATACTGGTATCAGAGAATTCACAACAAAATTTGTCACATATTTTACTGTATTAGCAAAGCTTACTAAATATAAAGTAAATATTTGATTATTTAAATATAGGTTACCTTTGGAATGGCATCTACAATTACAGAAAAAAAAATCTTAGCTAAAACCATGATTCTCAAACTTTGGTACAAGTACCGTAATTAGTGCTCAGGATCCATCTTTTGGTACTTTGAAAAAAATAACTTTAAATGAGCTAATTAATTACAAATAAAAAAAAACAAGCAACTTAATCACATGCAGAACTGTGATGTAATGCTAAAAAGAGAGGTAAATAAAAGCACACGTGGTTCAAGAACATTATGGTCTGTGCTCCAAACGGGAACTACTTAATGGAAAATGGAGTGGACGATGGATTACCGACTTGCTAGCAGCTACTTAAGCAGGGAAGTCTCTATATGACCTGCTAGCAAGAAAAATGTAAAACAAAGAAGACATCTGAATCAAGTTATCTCAAATTTGTGTATAGTTGTTGTGGGTCAGCAGAAGAGCCAGGTTATAGCATCATAACGTCAAATCCTACAGTACGCCCTTCAACCGGGGTTAGGGTTAGGACTTTTACCATTTCTCTCATCTATGTAAAAAATTAATATGTATTTCATCAGAATAAGTAACTGGAGAATTTAGAATTTTCTGAGATTATAAAATGTTTGAGGCCACCCTAAAATGTGTGGGTTATCAGTTTTCAACATTTTCAAACAACAGACAAGGACCATAAACTTCTGGTATTTCTAGAAGTGAAGCATGTTGCTCCTCCGAGGAGCATCGTGGCATTTTGTGTTTACTTCTGTCCCATTAGCTAATGCCGGCAGGCACCCCACCACTTCCAAACAGTACAGGATTGATGAGGTCTGTGGCACTAAAACCTTCCCGAAGTCATTAGTCTACATCATGGGGATTTGAAAAGAGGTATCTGTTGTGTACAGGCAGAGACCTGTAGACACAAGACTCACAACCACATGAGACCCAAAAGGCTGTCGGGTGGTTTCAATGTCTTTGTAACACCATCAGTGGTTATAGTTGTGGTAACAATAAAACCTGCTTAATATACGGCGTAAAGATGTTTGTATTGGTGTCACAGCTGTTGAATATTTGGATGGTAATGATCAGTGAACAATGTCCCATACAATATTTAAATACAGTTTGGGTTTGTGACTGTGATGAAAGTTTGTAAAAGTTAAGTAGTTGGGGTAAACAGTTGGTGTTGGCCGTGATGCGTTGTCTTTTCCAGACAAAGCACGGCACAAATGCAGAGGGAATCTTTCCCTCACAAAGACCCGTTCCTTTTGTGTTCCCCGTCTCAGAGCGAAGGGAATTGAAAATACCCGTCATCCGTTCATCCATCCATCTTGTGAGCTTGATAACTGAAACAATAAGTCAGATACCGGCTTTCATTTTGGTGTGTGGCTACATCTAGGCGTAAGAAAGGTCACTGAAGAAAATTAGGTTACCATGTCAAAATCCAAGATGGCTGCCACCATATATGTTCATATGTAAACCTCGTGAGCTGAATAATTTGAAGAAACAGCAACGTGCCAACTTCCATTTTGGTGTTTGGCTGCATCTTTACAATGTGTATTGAAATCCAGTCATGAGTATGTCTGAGATCAAATATTATGTTCTCATCAGTTAAACCTTTGTATTAAAACTTTAAATCTTATATATTAGTATTGTATATTGGTGTTTTTATGCAAGTTCGCTCGTTGTGGCACCCCCCGAGAAAGGGAGCAGCCGAAAGAAAAAGACAATGTGCTGAGGCTCAATGTGACTAAACTGCATAAATAAAGATTGAATTATTTAAAAAAATGAAATGGTTGATGTTTACTCTGTTCCTCATATTTTTACAGTTTATGTCCACTAGTAAAGAATGAATTACACCACTAGCATGCACATTTTATACATTAATACTGTAAAATTATAAAATTATCATAAAAGTTTGTGTATTTCTCTTCTTCCTTTTCTGATACAGCTTTTGTTTGCATTTGATTTTAATGTGTCAGTTTGTCTTCCACACCCCTTCCACACACACTGCATTCTGCAACAACATTCTGCACACACTCATTTCAGTTCAGACCCACCTTAGACACACAGTCCTAATCCCCAGGTGACAACAAGGTTTTAATGAAAGGTGTGTCTGCTAAAATGGAAAAAATAACACCGTATTGATTTAGGATGTAGGAATAAAATAAAAAAAATCAGGTCTTACAGGTCTTTGTGTGTGTGTATGCGCCTTTGCATACGTGCACAAATCTTTATCTAATCCCAGAATGTTTGCTCTCAAGTGCTTTTATTAAGATCAACACACGTTGCGAGTAGGCATCATCTGAGCACAATCGGAAATTTTCTTTGTTGACTTATGAATGCTCATGTGGTAACCATTGGTAACGTGCCAAACAGAGATAATCAGCCAGGCCTATCATCAGAAGGTGTCTGGATCACACATACACACATCTTTGTGTTTTCCTGACACTCATCACAGCTTGAGGCAGGATTTAACGTGGTGCCGTCTATCTTAGCCTCTGGAAGGAGATATGTTAACACGTTATGCTTGTTATTTTGTCATTGTGAAAACAGATATTAAACTAAGGAATTTCTCACATCCTCGCTCAATCATTGTAGCCCTAATCCATATTTTCTTTGTCATTTAATCAGTCTGTGTATTTTTAATTAAAAGAAAAGGTTAGAGTGTGTCATCTGTTTTCATCATGCATCGTTAAACAGATAAACTGCGCTGTGGAAAACGATTCCATAATCCTTGTTCTTGTGTCTTTGATAGGATTTTTCCAAGGGATTACCTGCTCCAGCACATTCACCTGTACTCCCTGGCTGATCTGCAGCAGGTACACACACGTGCACACAGATCTGTACACACATGCTCACAACAATACTACAGCCATTTTAGGGCTTATGTTTAAGTTGTTACTGATTTTGGAGCACAGCAGAGCAGTGGTTAGTGCTGTCGCCTCAGGTTCGCCTTCAGAAGTTTGCATGTTTGTCCCCGTGCATGCATGGGTTTTCCCCAGATGACTCCAGTTTACTCTCCCAGACCAAAAACATGCATGTTGGATTGAATGGTAACTCTAAATAACTCTGTTGTATGTACGCTCGTCGAACGATGGACATAATCTGGTATAGACTCCATCTACCTGTAAGCTTTCGCTTGTCCCACCATTTGTCCCACCATTGCACAGTGTGTCGCATAATCATCACCCCAGCTTCAAAGAAAAGGGCACAAATCAAGGTTAAAAGTTATGCAAGGGATTTGCTTGTACAAGCCATTCCTATAGGCTATTGTATAATAGTTTGTCTATATACGTATAATGTGCCGTATGTGGTACTCTTGTATTTCAGGTGGAAATTAAGGTTCAGTGTTTAAGAATCATTGTATTTAGGCTTTGTTGAGCCTAATTATGTTAATAGACATTGTGCCCTTTCTTGCTTGCTAAGGTGATTGACAGGTTGACAGATGGGGTCAGAGAGGAGTCTCCACAGATTATGATGTTTGCAGATGACATTGTGATGTGTAGTGAGAGCAGGGAGCAGGTGAAGTAGGTGAGTTTAAGTACCAGGGGTCAACCATACAGAGAGTGCGAGCAGAATGGAGTGTCAGGAGTGATTTGTGAAAGGAAGACAGTTGCAGGTGTGAAAGGAAAGCTTTACAAGATGGGGGGGAGACCTGCTCTGATGTATGATTTGGAGACGTTGGCACAAACAGAAATGCTAAAGGCAGAGCTGCAGGTAGTAGATCTGTTTTCCTGATGATGTTGCAGAAATCCTCTTTCCAATTTTATCTCAATTAGCAGTTCACTATAGACAAGCTGAACTATGAATCAGGTGGCTGATGAGTTTTCTAGTTTTCTAATTTTCTGTACACATTTATTTTGTGTCTGAAAGGTCACAATCTGACCTTTTTATTTCTCTCTTCAGGTGAAAGCTGTTATACTTTATGCTAAATGCTGTCCTAATGTAAAAAAAAATACTTTATTGGTCTGGAAAGGCATTCAACTTTGATATAAGAGGCTCAATGAGATTAACCTGTCTAAATAAAGGTTGAATGAAAAGTACTCAGGTGGGAACAATGTACCCAACCTTCTTGGTGTGTCATCGCACATTAAATGAGTTGGGGCCTATGTAAAGCAAGCGTTCATGCCATTTACCTCAAAAACTAAGACAGATTGCGTCACTGCGCTGTACCCAGCTCTTCAGTAAAATACAAAGTTACTACAGTATTTTAGCTCATAAGACAGTTACATAACAAATATGTAAAAGAGTTACCAAAATATGCAACTATTTTGTCTCAACACTGGAACATTTTCCAGAATGTAAACCAGTCCAATATCACTGATGTGGTGTGACCTTTGGTCAAAATACCCATCTATTCAGATTTGGATAGTGCCAGAGCAGATTTAGTGCTTTTCCTTGTTTTGTGCCTGTTTGACTACCGCTCCTTTTCCCAAGTTTTACATTCAGTTTTGATTCTAGGTGAAAGCTCAGCGATTGTTTTTCCAGTAAAAAATAAAGACCTAGAATTGTGATGTAATTTTAATTAATTGAGATTGCCCTTTTGCAGAATCACCATCCCAACATAGTGGAGATGTTTGCGTACCCTCGTGATCCTGGGGGCTATGCTGTCTGAGGCATCAGTCCCTGGGAAGGTCTCCCCTGACAAACTGGTCTCAGAGGAGGGGTCAGACCAATGAATAAACAACTTGTATGCACCTTGCCTGGAAATGGGAATCTGGGCCACCCCTCTGAAGCCAGGGCTGTTGGGGGGAGCTCACCCTCGAGGGCTGTAGCAGGATCTGGAGAAGGCTTATAACCATGTTCCCTGAGGCTTTTTTGCTGGGGGGCACTAGAGTTGCTCTTAAGGGCCATCCGGTCCCTGTATGACCAAAGCAGGAGCTATGTCTGCATTCTTGGCACAAAGCTGAGCTTGTTCTTTGTGCAGATTAGACTCAGCCAGGGCTGACCCTTGTCTCTGGTTCTGTTTGTGGTGTTCATGGACAGGATATCAAGGTGCAGTCATGGAGAGGAGGCTATCTGGTTTGAGAACTTATGGTCTCTGCTCTTTTGTGGGTGATGTGGTTGAGCTGGCATCTTCAGGTCATGGTCTTCAGCGTGCACTGAGGCAGTTCTCAGCCAAGTGTGAAACAGCTGGGCTGCAAGTCAGCTCCTCTAAGTCCAAGGCTACAAGTTTTACCCAGCAATGGGTGGAAAGCTTCCTCCAAATCAGGAATGAACCTTCCCCTCAAGTCAAGGAGTTCATGTATTTGGGAGATTTGTTCCTGAGTGATGGTAGCATGGAGCAGAAGCTGGATACACAGATCAGGACTTTGTCCACTATGAGGTCGTTGCTTCTGTTGGTTGTGGTGAAGAAAGAGTTGATTACGAAGTCAAAGCTCACAATGTACTGGTCAGTCTATGCTCCAACCCTTCACCTATGGTCATGAGGTTTGGATCATGGCCGAAAGAACGAGATCCTGGATACGATCAGCAGAAATGAGCTTCCTTTGTAGGGTGGGCGAGTTAAATCTTAGAGATAGGATGAGAAGCTCCATCATCCAGGGAGAAGCTTGGAACAAGGTTACTTCTCTTTTGCATTGAAAAGTGAGCTGAGGTGGGTCATGTTCTGGATGCTTTCCTTTGGAAATCTTTCAGGCATGTCCCACTAAGAGACCTCGGGCAGACCCAGAACTCGTATTATACATCTTCTCTGGCCTGAGAACACCTTAGGACAGTGGTTCCCAACACTGGTCCTTGAGGAACACCATCCTGCATGGTTTAATTGCTTCTCTGCTCCAACACACCTGATCTGAATGAACCAGTGATTAACAGGCTTCTGCAGAACTTGAGGAAGTAAATAAATCACAGAATCAGGCGTGTTAAAGCAGAGAAATAACTAAAACATGCAGGATGGTGTTCCTCAGGGACCAGGGTTGGGAACCACTGCCTTTGGATGAAAAGATAAAGGGTAGACAGACGAAAGGACAGATATTTATTTGACAGCCTAACCCTAACTCTCATTTAAAACTGATTTACTTCTTTTGTGTGGCATCCAAAAAAAGGCTTACTGTCTGTGTAAAGATTTTATCTCAGAAAATAAAGACAATGTTTTTTTCATTTCAACATTCAGGACACCTCAGTGTGTTATTGCTTATTTATGATTGTAATAAAATTTCCAGTTTGCATAACCTCTAAATGTGCTCCTGCCCACTCCTCTGTTGCAGCGAAACCCTGGAATTTAATGTAAAGAATTCAAATGTTTTCAGTTTCATATGAAAGGCTCACGTTTTTTGTAGCAAAGCTGAGTACAAGAAAGAGAAGGTGCCCGGGCCTCTCAGCAGTTCAGCGTGGAGCCGTCAAGCTGAGTTTGGGGTCTGAGGAAAGCGACCAGAAATGACTGAAAAGTTCTTTTGTTTGTCATTATGTTCATTATGTAGTACCCTGCCCCATTTTCTTTTTTCCTCCCTCTCTGACTCAGATCTCGGACTCTCGTGGTGAAAAGGACCGGCCCCCTCCTCCTCCTCCTTCACTCCCACACTCTGTCGCTCTGCTTTACTAATTGGTCACATTCAGAATCAACAGGGAGAAAAACAAAGCGTGACATCCCTCCATTCTTTTCAACATCCCCTTGGCCTCACACACGCTCAGCTCACATATGTGCACCTCTCCTCGCTACAGCTCTAGGACCCCTTTACAAACCTCCCCCCAAACAGAGAATTTAGTCCTAACTCCAACAACAGGAGTCTTTGATGGGGTTCACTCCGCTTCCTCTCCTCCTTCCCCCCTCTGACAGAGATTCTTGAGCACTTTGCCTCTTAATTGGTTTTCCATATTAACGAGCTTTTTTCTCTCTTTTGATTCGCCTCCTGAATAAAATGACGCACGTAATCAACGTGGCTTTTTTTGTTCCTGCTCAGAGGTCAGTGAAGGCTGAGCGTCTCTGGCTGAAGCTTGGACCGCACTGGTCTTTTCACGTCCCAACAAATAGCCTCCACCCATATCCTTCATTAGGAACCTGTTCATTTTGTACAAGCCATATGTGTTTGTCCAAGGACACTGTAGCCTCTCCTCTGCTGGCTCTAAAGATGGTTTCTATAGTTTTGTGTGGCGGCCATGCTTCCCGCAGGGACACCCTGGCATCCCCTGTATGCCAGGCATGCCCCGACACTCGTCCAGACACACCGAGGCCTCTTAAGTAAATGTTAGGAGTTCTCAGAGTTTCCAAGATTCTCCTTGTGAACGGAGGAGCAGCGTTCATCCTCAAACGCAGAATAAATTATACGCTAAAGAACAAACGATAGAAACCTCAAGAAAAATGAGTTCAGTTATTGTGTGAATGTTTATGAAGCGTTAGCTCTGTTGTGATCCATTTTTCTTCCGTATGTTTGTCGGCACGAGTCTCGTCTCGCAGTTTTCAGCTATTTCAACAAATCATAAATCAAAATGAGGACAATCCTGCTATGACTTCTGGTGTTGGTGCAACTTTAGCTTTTTGAATTATTTAGCCTTTCTGCCATTTTTTTCTCATTGAGAATGAATTGAGCTCATTTTACATCCTTCAAATCTTTAGATCTGTTACAACCTTTTACTGCTCCTTTCACATTTTGTTCTGCTTCAGCTTCTTTCAGCTTCCTTCTGTAAATTTTAACTTTTTTCAGCTACTTTCAGCTGTTTAGTTTTCCTTTCAGCTTGTTTCTGCTAACTACAACATTTTTGTACTTCTTTTAACTTCTTTACGTTAATTTTGGCTTATGATCCTTTCATCTCCTTTCTGCAAGTTTCATATTTTTCTGCCATTTCAGCTACTGTACTATTTAGCTGTTTTATGCCAATTTTA